AATATATTCCAAGTTTTGATGATCTGCGAGTACAAGAAAAAGGTGTTGTGCCCCTCCAGCCAATGCCTCCACTCCTCAAATGCAGCCTTCATGGCCAATAATTCTCTCTGCCAAGTTGAGTTTCCTGGAAAAGAAAGCGCAGGGGAACAATTTGGGTGATGAACCATGGCATTGAGAAAAAACAGATCCTATCTCAGAGTCAGATGCATCCACCTCTACCACAAATGGTAATGAGGGGTCCGGGTGTTTTGAGGGTAGGGGCCCTGGTGAAATGTGATTTGAGCTCCCAGAAGGCCTGAACCACTGCAGGTGTCCACGGGAGGATCTTGGGGGAACTCTGGAGCAAGGATGTGAGGGGTGCTGCGACCAAGCAGAAGTTTCTAATGAACCGCCTGTAAAAATGAGCGAATCCAAGAAAATGTTGCAATTCCTTAAAGGGGTCATATGATGCGATTTCAAGTTTTCCTTTCTCTTTGGAGTGATATAAGCTGTTCGTGAATAGATAAGATCCCTAAAGTTGCAACGACTAAAGCCTCACACCCAAGAGATATTCTTTATAAAAGTTAAGACTCATCCACACCCTCCTAAAACGCCTCGTTTAAACTACTCGTTTAAATACGCAACGCAACGCGTAAAAAGACAGTATAAGTCATTATAATCAGTAATTATGTCCCCACTGGATGCAACAAATGCCTCGTTTATAATGGGTTTTATTGGTTTTGTCTCAATGCGCCGGGACTCAGCATCCCAGTATGGTAGGGGCGTAACATTTTCGTCACACGCTTGAGGTATTTGGCCAATCACAACGCACTTGATAGCTGGCCAATCAGAGCACCCTGCGCTTTTCAGACCGATGAGCTTTGTAAAAATCGACGCGTTTCAGAAAGGCGGGGCATAGAGGAGCAACAATAATGTACAGTATGTGGAAAATAATGTGTTTTTTAAACCTTAAACCACATAAACCCATTTCATTACACCAAATACACAAAATAATGTTCTTTTTAGCAACGTCATATGACCCCTTTAATTGAGTAAGGGACTGGCCAGTTCACAGCAGCTTCAATCTTTGCCTTGACCCACCTGCACTCAGCATGTACCTCAGTAAAGAAATAGCTCAAACATGAAACTCACATTTCTCTGCTTTTACAAACAGGTGACTATCCGCCAATCTTTGAAGCACCTGCCGAACATGACAAACATGAGAAGCCAATGTGGGAGAATAGATTAATGTTGATGTAAACAATGACACACTTATTGATCATGTCTGTAAATATCTCATTCATGAAGGACTGGAAGATGGATGGAACATTGGACAGCCCGAAAGGCATTACCTGATATTCATAGTGCCCCATATTGATTATGAAAGCAGTCTTCCATTCATCCATTCATCATGCGGATGAGATTGTAATCACTGCGGAGATCAAGTTTAGAAAAGAAATGAGCCTCACGTACCTGTTCGATAGCTGCTGCGACCAAGGGCAAGGGGTATGAGAACTAGCGTTTAGCCCTTAGTAGTCAAAACACAGTCTAAGAGTGCCATCTTACTTTTCCACAATGAAAAAACCTGCAGCAGCTGGGAAAGTGGATAGATGGATGAACCCTAACCATAATGCCTCCTCCACATAGTCCTCCATGGCCTTGGTCTCAGGCAAAGACAGGGGATAAACCTTGCTCTTGGGAGACTGAGTACCTGGCAGCAGGTTGCTGGTGCAATCCTGGGGTCAGTGGGGAGGGAGATCAGTTGCCTTGCTCTTGTTGATCACCATATAACAAACCTTGTATTCAGTCAGCACACCTGGTGGTAGCTGGTTAGATGATGTGTATAAAGTGGTGGAGAGGCATGGCATGGGCTTAACAGGACTCATACAGGTATCGAGGCAGGTCACACTCCACTTTTGAATCTCACTCTCCCTCCAGGATATAACAGGATCATGATGGGCCAGCCAAGAAAAGCCCAGGATTAACAGATTAGTGGGTCTATTGGTTAAATAAAACAGGGCAAGTTCGTGATGCAAGGCTCTAACTTGTAAGTGGGTGGGATGGGTCATTCACTGTAGTATCAATGGTTAGTTAGGAAATGTCCTCTCTCCCTGTTTTCTGAGAAAACGCTCAGAAATGCAGTAGTGGTATTGGCAAGACTTCGCAAGGAATGAATGAACCAAACAGTCAATTTATAGTGTGTAATGGCTGAGGATGCGCTTCAGGTGTGACGGAAATCAGAATTCAGGTGAGGGCTCCCTCATGTGGCGTGTGGATAGAGTAGCAGTTTCAGGCATGTATATGACAGGGGCTGATTTGAAATCGGGATGTTTTTGGAGAGTTTTAAAAAGGAAAGTCTTGAGAAAGAAATTGAATGAATGAATAATATTAAAATAAAGGCATAAATGACTTGCTGAAATACATTTATAATTTAATTAAACTATTATTTACTTTATTCATTTTATTTTTTGTATAATTTTTTGTTTATTTTTATATCTATTCATTTATGTGTTCATTTATTTTTATATCTATGTATTGTGTACTTCTGCAGAGAGGTGAATGCATACAGAAGGCAAGATCCACCATTAATGTGCACAGCACCGCATCTCTGTTGGAAGTGATCACAGACAGGTTCATGTGCACTGGAGGAACAGAGAAGAACAGACATGAAATGACTTGTAAAGGTTTGGTTGAAGAAACTAAATATATATATATTTATATCCACACACTTAGACTACACATAGTGAGTGTAAATCTTTGCAGGGGATTCTGGAGGAGCTCTCTTCCTACGTAAGAGGATGCGATATTTCCAAGTGAGTGCTTTGGAGTTTATTTTCTAATTTCTTTTGCCTTAATAAAGACAAACAAACAATAAATAAATATTCATTCTAAACATCTTTAAAATGTTTGCTGCAGAGGCAAAATTATGGAAAACAATATGACATGTTCTTTAAAGAATCTTTATCATTGGCAGGAAGTAAGACATTTCTAGGGTGAATTTCTTTAATTATCACCAGGATATCTCAACAAATGCAAGAAGGGAAGTGGCATTAGGGAGCAGAAAAGAGTTAACTGGTTAATGTACACGTGTGGAATGGGATAATAATGCAAATTGAACTGGAAGATACCTTATCGTGACTGTGCATCACAACAGGCAGCATCAATTTGAACATTTCATTGTCTGTAAGAAGACCAGGTTTTGTCACTATTCATTCACTCATCAGCCTACTTGGAGAATTCTCACACAAACTGCCACTTAAGTGAGTGGTTACACTTCACCATTGCCTTTAGTTTCTCATTGACTTGAAAAACACCAGATGCAGAAAACTCCAGAGAGCACATTGAAGTGTTGTAAAGTGGTACATTAAATCTAAGCAGAGCAACACGCTTCTCAAGTGATTTGATTTCTGTTCCTCTCCCACAGGTGGCAGTCGTGAGCTGGGGCACTAAGCAGATCTGTGGCTCACAGACAGATGTCAGAGTCGACTGGCCTCTTGATGCACGAGATTTCCACATCAGCGTGTTCTCTCTGATGCCCTGGCTCAAGCAGCACCTTCACAAGGAGCTGGCATTTCTTCCTTAGCAGAACAACAGAGAATAACAAGCGCATAAAAAACTAGGCAGATTTAACAGATTACTGAATGTTTTCAGACTTGCATGCTTCAGTGCAAGAGAATAAATAATAATGTGACTAAAAACAGATTATGATTTTTTTGTAATCCCTACTGAAAGATCCTTGGCTTTAGGTAATTGGCTTGTAGGAGACACTACAAATGTAATGTTCTTACAATGACTGTTGTAAGGATATTAAGTGCCTCAGATAAATGGACACAAGTTCCCCTTCTCTTTGTAGAAGATATTACTTGCCTTACCTTTATAAGTCACTTTTTTTGTTACCAAATACCATTTTGTGTACCTGCACAATAGCACACATAATTTGTTGTTCGAGCGTGTTTTATATAGTTGACACATCTATAGTCTTGAAAAGAGGTACAAGTATCCACATATGTGTAGAGGTTAAACACCTACATATATGGTAAGCTGAAATAAGAGGCCTTGATTTGTTCATTTGTTTATCCAATCACTTTTGAAAATCATTGTTCTATGATAAATTAATACACACAACAAGAAGAGTCTATAAACTGTGTATCTGACCAGTAAACCTGTAAGAAGAGATGTGAAGCACACCGCTGTGTATGTCCCATTCTTCCCATTGGGTTCCTACAGCTCTTATTATCACCATACTACTTACAGTATTTCTTTAGTGTATCCACCTTATTTTTCCCGTAAGAGTAGGTATGGCCATTTGTAAATTGAATGTGTCTGGCTTCCGGTGTCATCCGCTTCCAAATATTTTAAGCTGTATAAAACAACTTGTTTTGCTGCATGATTTTGCAAACTGGTGTTTCTTACCATATCATTTAAATATATTATCTTAATTATGAACACACTGGATTGTAGTGCAACAGTTGACCATTTACCGCACTTTGTCATTTTTTTCATTAGCGGCTAATGAAGCGTAAGTCTCACACATTCACAGAAAACAACTTACTTCCACGTTGAAAAATAATGTGGATAGCATGCATACTGTGCCCAAGTATACATGTTTCCTATATGTATAGAACACCTGAATGATATACTACATTTGCAATATGAGCACACTGTAGTGAGTACTTCATGATGTTGAAATCACTATTTTGTGTCGTTTGTTTCACTGACAAATATTGCTATATATTAATATATATATATATATATATATATAAAAAATAAACATTCAGTATACTTACCGTCAACCTGTGAAGCATTTGAACACTTAATACAAGCACTTTTATTTTTATTAGACTCGTATAATAAACGTATAATGTTAAATCCCAAAAATACATTCAAATGCATGTGCTTTGTAAAAACCAACACTCTTCATTTCACTGGAGGCTTCTCACAGCAGCAGACCAGCTAACCAGTACAACTCATTCTGTTGCAGAAGTCACTAACCCAAAAGCCTAAACATACCAATGGGAGAATCTCAGAGAAATGGCTGTGTCATATTGCACCACAAACATCTTTTGGAAACTGAAAATGAAGTTTTGTATGGACCACTATGATTTACAAGCAGTCTGTCTGCTGAAGGTGCTACTGAACCACGCTGTGGTCCAACAGCTGCTTTGGTGGCACAATAATTTTGAGCGTGTGATCCAGGGCCACTGCTGTAAGACCCCAGACTCGACGCTTAGGGCTGTGAAACACCGGGAGTGTGTACCCGTAACGGTCTCCAGTGCGGAAGTGCGTGTAGCCTCTGTTTTGGGGTTGACATAGATGCTCAAACGTCAGGGTAAAAATCTCTTCCACCTGTCAGAGGAAGAAATGCAGTGTTACTCGAGTCTTATCTGAGGACAAACACACTGCCACGATTTCGAAGACCTGAATAGATTGTGATGGGATGTAAACTGTGCTATACCTCACTTGGATTAGGTCGAAAAGAGAGCTCCTCCAATGGTCCGAGATTGGCTATTACAGGTGCAATCATCATTCCAGACTGCAAATTAGGAAAATATATACATTCAACTGGAGAATTACACTGATTTTCACTCCAGAAATACATTCAGGCGCATTGAATAGAGTCAAATGAGCATTCATACCCATGAAAAACCATGCATCTTACCATTTCCATCTGGTTACATCAGTACCAGCTTTACAGTCACAGTGAAACAGATTACAAGACAACGATTATCGACAAAGAAAAGACTTCAAAGAACGAGTCATAATATAGACAGACGTCCCAGTGCCTTCAGAAATGCCTCTGTTTTATCACTGATATCCTGAATTTACACTCAGACGATTGAGTTCTGCCTCACGACGTGTAAGTAAGCACATTAAAGGGTTGTAGATCAGTGATAAACAGTATCTGTTGATCTTAGGCACTCTTGCAAACAGCTTGTGTTTTCAGAATCGTTGGAGATGGTTAAACTGATATTATGAGCTCAGAAATGTTAGTTATTGGGGTTAATTTTGCCTATTTGTATAGTGTGTTGGTGAAATGTAAAAATGTAGGCCTACATGTAAATATGAGATGGCTTTAGGACAAAAACACATTTAAAAAAAAAAATTATAATCAATAATTAATTAACTTATTTAGAAGGCCAAGGACATTGGTATTGCTATAGAAAGTTAACCTGTCACTAATCATAATACTATTATTATTAAGGGAAGGGATATTGATTTAGGATGTTTGCAGACTATTGTTGACATCTCTTGTCAGGAATAACTGTCTGCTTTTTTTTTCTCTCCAGAAAGCATGTTATGTAACAAACCTAGGCAAGCTTACAGAAAAAAAGGTTCATTTCAATTGTATGACATATCACTAGAAGTGATTGTTAGTGTAAAGAACGTGTTTAACTGTTTGTCTTACACACACACCTATCGTTTTGTTTGAACATTGTTTCAATTACTGTCATGTTGTGTGGTTTTTGAAGCGTCACCTATAAAGGTCCATTATACTAGCATTAGACTCACAGAGATGGAAATAATTCATAAAAAATCTTCATTTGTGTTTATCTGAAGAAAGAGAGTCATCTGGGACAGCATGAGGGTGAGTAAATGATGAGAGGATTTTCATGTATTGGTCTTTCTGCATCATTTTTGTCTTATCATCTGACCAACTACTGATGCAAAACATGAACATGTCAACAAAATGACTAAACACAAATCTTTGTAGCATGCTGTGAAGTTATTATAGGTCTAGAGACCAGCATCCCTCTTATAAACACCACAAACATCAGTACCCTTACCAAAATGTAGTATATTTCAAGTTTATTTTAGTAAGTATACTTAAGTAAAGTTGAAGTATATTTTTAAGTATACTTTATGTAGTAAGTATACAAATATCAGTGTACTAGTAGTATACTTGTCAGTTTTGTGTTGGATGTGGAAAGGAGGTTCATGACGTCATATCATATCTGCCATGCCAATAGAATATTATGTTGTTGTTTTTTTTTTAAAAACAGCCTTTTCAATACTTACATGCATCAAAAACTTACAAATGTCACAAGAGGAATGCTATCAACATAATAACAATGTTTAAACAACATTATCAGAAACTGATAACAACTTAACACATAAAACCTTTTTACAGGGGCACGTTCAAGCTCAAACCTGTGCGCAACGTTTTTAGTTTATTAGAATGTTTTGACATAAATCATTTGATAAAAGTCAAACTCTCTGTATTTACATAACCATGGTAAAATCACTATAATGCATGGCCTTGTTGATTTTAGCAAAATGATACATTGGGTAACACTTTACTTAAAGCTTTTATATATAATGCGTTTTAAAAGTAGTTGCAATGCTTTGTAATGCGCATTGTATGATCTCATGAAAAATTGTAACCACAGGTATAATACATTATAATCTATTTGCTGTTACACCTTTAGAAAGTATAATTTATTAAAACACATGATAAACAAACCTAATGCATTGTACATAAAGGCTTTAAATGTTACCATAAATGGCAATAAACAAATACATTAATATAACTAATAATTAGCATAAGTAATTATTCTGCTAGATACTTCATTATATTAACTGTAGGCTGTTTGTGGTTGTCAAGCAGCATAACAGATGCTTATTTATTATGTCATGTGCACATTTGCATTTTACCAATTGCAGAATTTAGTGGCTCAGTTATCTTATTTTATGCTTACTATAATGTACATTATCTATGCAACTAAAGTCAGCCTAACTTGTAGATCTGTGCTGCTCGAGCCGTAAACTGATGCACTGATTCAGTCCGATTTTGGTGAACTGGTCAATCCAGTTCACTAAAAAGAATCGTTTCAAAAGAGTGATTCGTTCACAAACCTGTTTGTCTGAGGCTGCAGAGAGTTCTGGAGAATAAAGGGTTCCCGCTGGTTTAATTCTTGGGTTAACACCTTAATTCTTAAGTCTTTTGCAGTTAATATCTTTTCATTTTTTGTGACCCTGCTGCCCCATTGAGCATTTCTTTTTCAGTGGTCACGTCTTTATTTAGCTATTTCTATAGTATTGCACTCTTTTCAGGGGCATTTAATAATTTTTAACTTTTCAGTGTGTTAATCTCTCTTTTTTTTGGCTTATTTTACCTGTAAAAGAAATACAGCATGTTTCACTTGCAGCCCTAGTTATAAATTATATATCTCTTATAAATAATTATATGCAAAATTAATAGCAGTTCGTAAGATTGATGTGGTCTGTATATGGTAAAATGTGCTTGGAGAAAAATATGATCACTTGCCTAATAATTATGCATGCACTGTAGATAGAGAATCCTGTTAAGCAGATAATACACAAATCTTGTCTTGACTAAAATAAGTCATGGAGAAAGTATTTAAACATCATTGAAGTCAGGTGTTTCTGTTAAGTCAGGTAAAATAGTTTAACAAGTGCTGCCCTACTGAAAAAACAAAAAAACATACAGATATACAGGCCTCTCTTGCAACGATTTTTCATTCTGTAAAAAAAATTATTTATTAAGCGGAAGCTTTATCCAAAGACAGTTCACTTATAGCTACTGGAAAGTTACTGTTTCATTGCTGCACAAAATGTCCTCCCGTCTGGTTCAAAGATAAGTCTCAGTGATCATGTAGAGCTCTGTGTGTGCATTATTTCTTTGGTTTCATGACACGGATTCATTTGCTATTTTCAGATAACAATTGGCGTGGCATATAAGGACATGAAGCGCTCTGCATCTGACGACACAACACGCAGTCCTGGAGCCTGTACTGGTCCGGCAAGGCCTTCTCTATGTGGCATGATGGGAATGAAACCGCACTGGTCGCTCCCAAAGCCAAACGCATCGGGGTTTATCTGGACCAGCAGACCGGCGTGCTGGCACTTTACAGACTCTCGCACAATCAGGTCCAAGAAATATGCTGCGTTCACACGCATTTCGACGGATGCCTCGTCCCCAGTTTTCGCTTCTGGACTGGAGTCGGCTCCTCCATCACTATCTGTGAGCTCAGCTAAAGAGGAAAGCATGACTGTGAGAAATACATCTCGAGAGACTGGGAGAAAGTACTGAAAAAAGATGAAGAACGCATACGCCTTTAAAGCAATCTATATCTGTTTACAACTTTACAATGAAAATAAAATACTAATGCATCATACGAGTGTCTTGTGTTTCTCTCTCCTTCAGTGATTCTGCTTGTTAACAGCAGCTGTTCATCACTAATGCTCAATCAGCACTTAATACATCGCTTAATTATCTCATTAACTTTAACTCTGCTTCAGTGTTACTTTAACACTGTGTAGATTAGGACCAAATGCTCTCTTTAAGCATTTAACTCTGGGGGTTTTACTGTGCGCCTGCTTTTGCATGAGTGTTTTGAAATGGTATTTTCTGAAGTGCTTGTAGATCTATTACTGGATGCAAACCCCCATCTTTCTTTGGACCTTGAGGATAATGAGAGTAAAAAGCTCTCTGAGTTCTGCTGAAGTGATTCCATAGATGGACTTTTTTTATACTAATGTGTGTTTCATTTGTACTTGTCTCTGCACTTTTGTGTTTGAGCCTGTAAGAGCTGAAAGGCTTCGTGACAACACATTTGGGAACTTGTGCTTTCATTTCTCAGACCACCAGCTTTTGTTGACTGCATTTTTAGCACTGGATCTTGTGATATTGAAGAAGGAAAAAAAAAAAAAAGATGCACATTTTTGTTATTTAAAATGACAATTTCCAAGCCCTTTTAACCCAGTAGCATGACCACCCCACAACTAACTTAAACGAATAAATAATCAACACTTTCCGGGTATTAGATTAGTGAAACAAACTCCGTTCAGGCTGAGTTCGTCACGTGATATATGCTACATTTCTCAGCCCAGTCACAGTGGATTGGACAGTACTCGTACGTATTTAATAATCTAATAGAGATTTAGGGTGCAGATTTGAGTTTCAGATATAAAACTAAGATTAAACGATTCGGATCAATAGAAGATTCGAACGGATCACACCGGATGTGACGAAGCAGATGACGAACGCGGAAGTTTCGCGGAGCAGATTGAGTTCCCTGCTCGCGTGATGTCGCGGACTGAGTTTATAGCGAATAATGACTCTAAACAGCTCGGAAATAAAACGGACAAACGATAGCGAAGCACATCAACGTTACCAGAAGGTAGGATGAGCTTCTCGACGTTTTATTCTTTATGTCTGACCTGCCAGTTTGAGGTTTCACTTCCCTCAGTGCTGAGCTAGCTAACGTTACTAATACTAATAATTTATTATGTTTCCTTATTGTGTATTTAGTATATGAATCAGTTAACACTTGGTTTAGACAACTGACTAATAGATTATAATGTATTTTAATAAACAGAGCGGCATGTTTCGACGTCTTTCGGTTTCTCTCTCTCAGTTTAATGTCATCATGACAAAATGACAAATATTTGTTCAGTTGTGTTGCCAAAGCCTTTACACTACATACACCTGAAACATGAATTAAACAGCAGAGTGTTCTGTAAAAAATGACAGACCATTGTAACCCATGAGGTTGTGTTCAGATGGAATGTAATGACTATTTATTTGCTGGATCTGAATGATGAATAGGGACTGACTGTGCTAATAATCCAGAGTACTGTGGTGTTGTTGCAGTATGCACACTGGGTGACCCTTTCGGTGAACTGTTGGGTTGAGAGCGAACCCCAGACCCGAGTTCAGCTCCAGCCCGGGTTAAACACACCAGAAGCAGCTAATCGAGGACTGCAGGATTACTACAAGCCTCCAGGCAGGTGTTTTGGGTCTACAGTGGCCCTCTAGGAGCTGGACGAGTTCTCATCCAGACACTGTTTCGATGTTTTTCTTCACTTAGACACACACACACGCATGCTTTTTTTGTGTGTGTTTTGTGGAGCTCAGTTTTTGTGGGCTCTCAGTAGGGATGGGCTTATCGTTACGGAAGAATCGATATATTGATACTGATTGAAAGTATCGATACTCGAATAAAAAATATCAATACTAAAGTTTTGTTTTTTTTTACCAGTGATTTTGTTCATTTAACAAGAAATTTAATGCGTACGAAATGCACTGAATTGAAGGGATGTTAGAAGATTCAGCTGCTTTTTCTAATTCAATGTGACTAATAAACACACGACTACGGCAATATACGGTTTATCTGAGTTCTTATTATTATAATTTTCATTAAAATAAAGTATATTTATAATGCAATGCCTTTATCACTGCTTAAATACTATGAAATATGTTGCGTGCCTTATTCTGTGTAAGAAGCCACATCATCTCACAGAAGGATTTATTTCAAACACTCGACTGACTTTATGAAGTGAGTTTGGAGTAAAAATATGTTATTAAATGTGGTATTTTCACATGCTTTCAGATGGAGCAGCATTTGCTACACAGAGCCGTAGTTCACTGAGAAGCTATGCAAACAGCTGTCATTATCGCCAACGATTTCTTCGATTTCAGAATCGCGCGATAAAATTGTCTGCGATTTTTTTTTTTGCGTAGCTTGTCAGTGAACTACGGCTCTGTGTAGCAAATGCTGCTCCATCTGAAAGCACGTGATGATGATTTACTGCTGATTACAGAACCGGCTTTACTAACAAAATGCGCATGACAATCGCATTCGATTAATCGTGCAGCCCTAGGTATTATTACCTATTTTAGTCTTAATAATTATATAATTTAATACATTTCATAATTTAAAAGTTCAGTCTAGGGGTATCGATATCGGCGATACTGGCCTTTGAAAGTATCGGTGGAGTATCGAAAACAAAATAAGTGGTATCGGTCATCCCTAGCTCTCATTTGGATGTTTTTGGGTCGTTTGAAAACCCATTTTTTGGGATGTTTTTTGGGTCAAAAAATGGGTTTTCAAACATCAATCAATCAGTAGCCACTTTCTCACAGTAATACCAGTAAATTGCCGTAAAATTACCGGAACGAAAGTGTAAAGTGTAAAGCACCGTTCACACGTCATCATTTTCAAAATACCGGTAAATTCTGTGACATCATTAACCGGAAATGAGCTCTAAACGGCTGCGGCTCCCGGTGATGTGTTTGTAAACATGCGCTCAGTGTTTTTGTTGATGTTTTCATTTTTGTGTCAAACATTCACATTTAATCGGTATTTGTGAAAAGGTCCTGTTCACACTAGGGGTTGAACGACTTCTGATTTTTTGAAGTCGACTTTTATGTGATGAAAGTCGAGTCGAAGTCGACTAGTTGCTGATGACGTCATTAATGAACAAATAAGTCTGGAGCTGTGATAAATACCTTGTGCACAGCTATGGCATGTGACACAGCGCTGCCCACATGGCTGTTACTCCTATAACAGCTTTTTTATCAGTTATTTTGTCTTTGGGTCGTTATATTTCTCACAGATTTCTGCTCATTCTAAATCAGATATGTATGAGTTTCTTTCTCATGTTGAACACAAAAGAAGATATTCTGAGGAATGTTGGTCTCCAAACAGTTGCTGGTAGCCATTGACTTCCATACTATTTTTTTCCCTACAATGGAAGTCAATGGCTACCAGCAACTGTTTGGAGACCAACATTCTTCAGAATAGTTCACACATGATCTCTTAACGGTAATTTACCAGTAAATACTGCATGTGTGAAAGGGGCTAATCAATCTTTTGTGAAAATCTGACTCTCTGTATGAAAGATTTCAGATGTTTACATTTGATTAGTGATTCTGAAGTGTTTTAAAATCTTAAATCTTTCTATCAATTACCAGCTTGAAAGGGACAGTTCACCCCAAAAATGAAAATTCTGTCATCATTTACTCACACTGTTGTTCCAAACCTGTATTAGGCACCAGCAACTGTTTGGAGACCAACATTCTTCAGAATATCTTCTTTTGCATTCCACGGAAGAAAGAAACTCATGTTTGGAGCAGCTCGAGGGGAGTAAACAATGACAGAATTAAAATTTTTCGGTGAACTGTCCCTTTAAATGAAAACATCTCGGAACATTAATGTGATCTCTGACTTTTGAAGCTCATTATTATTTGCCATGATTCTTAGTGATGTGTGTGTGTGTGTGTTGTGTCTGTTGTGTGTGTCTGTGTGTGTGTGTGTGTGTGTGTCTGTGTCTCTGTGTGTGTGTGTGTGTTGTGTGTGTGTGTGTCTGTGTGTCTGTGTCTCTGTGTTGTGTCTGTGTGTCTGTGTGTCTATTGTGTGTCTGTGTGTCTGTGTGTGTGTGTGTGTGTGTGTGTGTGTGTGTGTTTCCCGAGCAGCTGATCTGATGTGGAGAGAGTGTTCTGCTGGTTTCTCCTGGCTGACATGGCATCCTCCCCCCAGATGTGTCTCAGCCTCTATCATCTGCTGCTCCTCACCATTTCACCGCTGCGCAGCCATTCCTTCTTCTTTCCCTCTCAACCGTCCTCTCCCTGTGGGCCGGGCCGGTCCTGGGCGGTGCGGCTCGACGCGGGCTCTGTGACAGCGGGGCGTTCGCTGGAGCGGCTGGCACACAGTGTGGCAGAGGAGGTGGGCCTGGAGAATCACGGGCAGATCGGGCAGCTGGAGGGACACTACCTGCTCTGCCAAGGAGCGGAGGACAGCGCAGACGTGGACTCGGCTCTGGATCGAAACCCTCATGTGCTGTGGCACTCACAGGAACACATCCTGAGACGCTCCAAGAGAAGCGTGACCTTCAATGACCCCAAATATCCCAGTCAGTGGCACCTGGTGAGTACTCTGTTGCGTAAGCCAGTAAATAGTGGACAGAATCATGCACTCTAGTCATAAAAACTGGAATTTTGGATGAATAAATCAAAAGTAGGGCTGTAAACTCAATCATATCGCGATCTGGACTAGTGTCTGTGATCATTGAAGCACAAAAAGACTATTTCGATATGAATTCTGCATGTTGTGCTTGTCTCAGTTTGCTCTAGACTGAAGCACCAGCATATCACCATTTATTCTGGGAAATCTATCCTCCTGTCAAAATAAAGGTCTGGTTTAATTGGAAGAAATGGGGACGTATATTACTGTTGTACAGTAGAATGTACTTCTCAAAGAAATAATGATATTAATAGTTGTATGCATGTTTTAATTTTAACAGTAAACTTACGTTATGGTCTTTGTTGCCAAAATGAGTGAATGAATAAATAAATAAATGTTTATTTTTTATTAGTTTGATTTACATTTTAATAGATTAAGAAATTTTAAAAAAATGTTAATGTTGTATTCCTTCATTTGGTTACCACTGTTTTTGATAATACATTTGTATTAAATCATAAATCCAGAAATAAGCACACAGATAGTAAAATAAATAAATAAAAAATAATAAAATAAAACATTTCATAGGGCCCTATTACTGTAAAAATAAATAAATAAATAACATAATAAATTAAGTTGTTATAGTTTCATGAATTCAGTTGATTAGACCTGCTTTTTGATTATTAAAATTAAACCATTAAAATGAAGTCCATAAAAATGAAAACAGGAAACAGAATTTGGGACACATTTCATAGGGCCCTACAAATACAATATTTTGTTAAACTTTTAATAAATTGTTATGCAATTTCAATTAATTAGACATGCAATCAATTAGACATGCTTGATTACTAAAATTTCATTTAACCATTAAAATAGAGTCCAGTAAAATGGGAGTAAAATTAAATTTGGGAAAAAATAAAACCGATTTCATTGGGCACTAAGTAAAAATGTAAGTAAGTGGTAGCTGTCAGATATCAGCCATCTCACATCTCCACATGTGCTTTTACAGCACAACGATGTGAAACAAGGGATGGACATCAACGTGAGCGGTGTCTGGGAGAGAAACATCACCGGCGTCGGGATCACAGTGGTTGTGGTGGATGACGGGCTTCAGCACACACTGGCAGATATTCAGCCCAACTATGTGAGTCAATCACCATCTGACTTCTAGGAATCTTCCAGGTCCAGCACGTGTTCAATAAGCAGCATCTGTGGCAGTTACCAGAGAAAATAATGTAGACTTGTTCCTCAGTGTTTGAAATGCAGCGAAAATCGGTTCAATAAGGTGCTTAGAATGCAGATACACAGGGGCAATAAACATTCAAATACACACTGTTTAAAGCAGAGTCTGTCACCACGGTGCTAAAAGTTAAGTGTTAACAGAAAGTCACTGTAAATAAATTTTTTACTTAAAGAAGCAAAGGGTTTTCTGGAGTCATCGGCAAAGTGCCTCAAATGTTGTCGATGCATGCATTGAAGCTTTAACTGGTGGTTTGTGTTTATGTAGAGTCCTGAGGGTAGTTATGATCTGAACTCGAACGACCCTGACCCCATGCCTCATCCTGACAGCCACAGCGATAACCATCACGGCACGCGCTGCGCTGGAGAGATCGCCGCCGTCTCAAACAACCGCTTCTGCACTGTCGGAGTCGCATACGGAGCCAAAGTGGCAGGTTGGTGATTTCAGTACGTGTTACTGATAAAAATCAAACCTAGGGCTGATCACAATTATTGTCACTTTAGATTTCATCAGACACACACACACACACACAGACAGACAGACAGACAGACAGACACGCAGACAGACACAGACACACACACACACACACACACACACACAGACTCACACACACACACACAGACACACACACCCACACACACACACACACTCACCACACACACACACACATATACACAGACACACACACACAGACACACACACTCACACACAGACAGACAGACACACGCAGACAGACACACACAAACTCACACACACACACACACACACAGACACACACACACAGACTCACACACACACACACACAGCTCACATGCTTAATTTCACATCATCTATTTTCCTGATGTTTTATATTTCTCGTATAAATATAAACACACTCTTTACATTATGAAAACTGGGGCAACAAATAGCTTCTCAAAATCCTTATATTTAACCCCCGCAATTCCAAATGAAAAATGTTTTTAGGATAAATAACCAGCAGGTTAATGAATTGAGAGAAACATAAATCGTGAACACAATTAGAATATGATTTATTGTGCAGCCCTAATTAAACCCTTTCTAAATGATTTATCGTTGAGGTGAATTGCTTTCTTTAAGATGAATCACTTGTTGTTTTCCTCATTTGGATAAAAGTATCTGATAAAGTAAAATGTAAATATTGTCATAGATTTATACTTGATTTGTAGGGCAGAGGGATATAGCTGAAATAGTTGATATATTGATTAATAATTTATATACTGATGAATCTAAAATGCATAATACATTAACGCTGTCATATCAACAAAACATCCATTGTAGCCAAGTAAATTCAAAATGTTAAATGCAAGAAGGAAAAATATTTGGTAACTTTTATTTATGTTTCACATTATTTTATTTATATAACAGTGCTTTTTAATAAAAGGTTTACCTATGTGTATTTTTACGAAGGCATTTAAATGTGATTTTTTTTTTCTTGAGTGTCATGTGAATTAATTGTTGAGTTTGAGTTTTTAATCTAATTTAGAATCAGTTATTGAACTTGATTTCCAAAAACACCTTTTTGCTAGCAAACTTTAAATCGCTGTTGCAACGTCTGTCTTGACACTCTCACACCTGCATGACACAAAACATTGTGAAACTAGTGTAATGACACGCACTTTAGGAAACGTGATGACCAGATTAAAATCATTGCAGGATTCACAGTGTTGGTTCATTTTAATATTAAATTTACATCATTGGTAATATTGTCTACGTTACCCATTGATTGCTCGCGTGTGTGTGTGTGTCTGTGTCTGTGTCTGTGTGTGTCTGTGTGTGTCTGTGTGCCTATGTGTGTGTGTGTGTGTGTGTGTGTGTGTGTGTCTCTGTGTGTGTGTGTCTGTGTGTGTCTGTGGGTGTGTGTGTCTG